GTCGCCCAAAGCATCTGCCGAGCTCGAAGAGCAGTGGCATTTGCATATCTCTGCTTTTCCTCAGCATGGGCAGCCCTTTCTTTGGCCAAAGTGGCCTCCACCTCAGCCCGAGCCTTCTCTGCTTCAGCCCGAGACTTTTCCGCCTCTGCTCGAGCCCTCTCCGCATCAGTTCGAGCCTTCTCTGCCTCAGCTCGAGCAGTCCGCTCTTGCTCGAGCAAAGCCTCTTTCTCCCTCATGGCGGTCTCTTTTTCCGCCACGGCAGCCTCCTTGGCCGCGAGAGCAGCATCTCTCTCCGCGAGAGCTTTTCCTTTATTACTAAGTTCTTCGTCGAGAGATCTAATCTTGACGTCGAACTCAGTTTTCTGTTCTGTTTGTGTCTCGCGGAATTTGGCATTATGCTGCAGGAGGGTCGAATTTTTATCCTGCAGATAGCCAACGGTGTTCTCGAGAGCCTTGATCGACTTCCCCGAGCTGTCTCGAGCTTCCTTAGCCAATGGCAAAAAATCGACCAAGCCCTATCAACAAAGAAGACAAGGCAATTCAACGCATGAATCGACAAGGAAAAAGGAGAAGAACCAAGGTAGAGTTAGAGGAGTAATACCTGAGCAAACCACTGCACGAGTCTGTCGCCAATCTCGGGCAGCGTGACGCCGGCCTTTTTGCGATCATACTCGAGAAGGGCGCCCTCGAGGCGGTCGGCCACCTCATTAACGGGGGCCGACAAGAGAGACATCGATTTCGGGGCTAGTGGATCAGAGGGAAAATAGCCCGCATGCCCCCGCTTGGCGACGACCTCGCCCTGCTCAGTTCGAGAGCGTTTGCCCAAGGCTGACTCACGCCCCCCATCATCACGATTGTCGGATTCGACCAGAGTCTTGGTCGATACAACAAGGGTGGTATTAGAAGATTGGTGGGTCAGGGGTAGTGTCTCCGGAGCTGTCGACTTGGAGGAGGTGTTAGCGTCAGAGGACTTGTCTCGAGGAGGATTGGGAGCTCGAGGACCTGTTCTCTGAGAGCGGTCGTCCGTTTTTTTATGATGGTCGATGGTCTTCTGACGATCATCACCCTTGGGTTGGTGCTCGACGGTTTTCGAACAGGTAGAGGACTTGGTGGTCGGTTGAGAGACGGATTTGTGCTGTTGCTGTTGCTGTTTCTGCTGTGACTGTTGTTGTTTTGGCGGTTGCTGTTGGAGTTGTTTTTGTTGCTGCGATTGGTGTTGTTGTTGTTGTTGTTTTTGTTGTGGTTGCGGCTGCTTCTGTTGCTGTTGCTGTTGTGTCCCCTTGGGCGGCGGCGGAGGAGGAGGAGTTTGTCGCGAGGGCGATCGCGGAGGAGGCGGTGGAGTTTGCTGTGAGACTGGTTGCTGTTGTGGCTCTGGCCGAGATCCGTCGGAGCTGGTCGAGCCATCGACCTTATCACTGGTCGATCCGGCGGCAGCCCCTGATTTCTTGTTCAGCGGCACTTTCCTCAGAGGAATATTGAAGCTGGGAGTCTCTGCACGAGCACATCAAACAGAATAGAACCAACATTAACACTTACTTCAACAAGAATAACAAATACATAACAACGTTCAAAATGAACTGATCGAGAACTACCTGGGTCATCCTCAAGGTGAACGAGGTCGAGAATCTCCTCGGTAGGGGGAGAAAGGGTTTTATGGGAAAGAAGACCGCAGAAATGGAGAAGATTCTCGTCTTGGAGAAGATTTTCAGACGCAACGGTCTTGGAATTCCAAACATGGATCCGTTGGTCGAAGAGGGGGTTTGACGGAGGGGCCGAGGCTGCCTCCTTGGAAACATCCTTGACCCAAGGAATGGAAGGCCAGGGTAAGGGAACGTCGGGTCGAACAAAGATGAACTTATCACTCCACTTGGGAAGGTTGGAGGGGATGTCATTGATGAAGTGCGCACCATTGCGACTTTTCAGATAAAGACCCCGACCCAATTTAGAGGGGCAGTAACAATAATGGAAGAAGTCTAGATCGAATCGACCTAGATGGATGCGACAGAGAATGATGAAAGTGGTGATGAAACTGATGGCATTAGGAGGAAGCTGATGTAAGGAAAGCGAGAACCACTCGCAGATGCGGATTATATCAGGGCTCAAAGGAAAACGTAACCCAAGCTTGAACTGGACCTCGAAGAAAGGGTAACAGTCTCGCGGAGGATTATCATATCGGTCGGAAGGGGAAGACCTAATGAACGCCCAACCAAGAGGTTGGCCGATTTTATCGGGATGAAACCAGGGGTGAGATAGAGAGGTAGAAGATGGTCGTTTGGAAAGTTTCTTGGTCGAGGACTGCTTGGGTGGAGAATTCGAAGAAGGAGGAACGGTCGAAGATGTGGGAAAAGTGGGCTGAGAAGAAACAGCTTCGTCTTCCTCTGGCTCATCTATTGAGCCAAGAGGAGGTCGACGGTTGCGGAGGGGAATGTTATCCATGGTGTCGCCGGAGTTGGAAGAAGCAACACGAGCTGTGAAGACACGAGTAGGGAAAGTATCACTGTAACACCCCACTTTGATTTTACAGAAATTTCGAATTTTCCAAA